AAGAAAGATATGGAAAGATTTAATTTGGTGTGATAAGATTTTGGAAATCTCGATTAGAGAGCTCCGTAACTCCCGGATTTTGCTTCAGAATGAAAAATTTAGTAAGCTGTATATTTCTTAACCATCTTCTCTTTCACACAATCAAATTCATTTCTCTTTTGCAATCATTCGGAGACATTTTTGGACTTGAATGTGAATGAGAAATGAAATAAGAAACAAAGTGAGGATATGATAGTGTGACAGCAATGGATTAATGACTGTTCTGATTCTGTTCAGGTTTGATGTTTGATCAGTATATTGATGTGCTATGCCTCTTCAGTTATTTGGAATAGACGAATGAATATATCTGTAAATTGTAAAGCAATAGTGATCAGTGCGAAATAGATCGCTTCTTCGAAGGAGCTTACACTAACAAGCTATCCTGGAAACGAGGCTTTTTGTGAGAGCCTCAAGCAATCAATTCCTCTTCTCTTTTCTTGAGAAGGAGGAGGCTACCATAGGCATAGAGATATATTGCATATATACATGTGTCTTTCTATGTCTAAGTTTGTTACTGGCCTATACTCAGGCCTATAGGTTGTTTGCTTGTCAAATAAGCCAGCCACATTCACCTCATAATATATATTTTTCTTTTTCTTGCATCTCTTATTGATTTATTTCTAAAAACGTTGACATGAAATGGTGGGATTTAAAGGCATGATGAAACTTTTTAGTCCGACTTTTTGATCTTCCTTTTTTTTCTTCTTTTTTTGTTCTTTTCTAAGCTTTAGCTAATGTTTATGTGTTTGAAACTGTCATTTCATAGCTGCATTATATACTTTATTTTAATAATTTTACTTTTTGGCTTTTACATTTTTTTACAATTTTACATTTACTTTTTAATTTTACCATTGTCGTTATTTCAGCATGGCTTTCGCTGTTCCTTATTAACTACTCGTGTGTTCTCTGCCATAAAGAACTGATTAACAAGAAAAGATGATGAAGTCAATCTGATAAATTTGATGGTTTTTTTCCCTTTTTTTTCAAATCTCTTCAAGCCACTGCACTTACATCATCCTTTTGTCATGCGAAAGCTGACCTTTGGCTTTCTTTGTCCATATTTTGTTAACTTGTAATTTGTCTGACAAAATGCATATTTCTAAATGTATTGCCAAAAACGCACTCTTCAAAAAACAACTTAACTGATATAGAAGCATTTCTGGAACATTTCAAATCGCATGCAATGTAAACTTTTTAGACAATTTAAAATTTATCATTTCATCGTACATTAACTCAACTGACATGTGCAACCAAAATGTTTCAATTCAACTGGCATGTGCAACCAAAATGTTTTAATAATGAGCAGTTTTTTTTTGAATTTATTTTAAATTGAGGTCATATGCATTGCATTTCGCAATTCAGCGATTGTCTTATTATACATTTAGCTCATCATCACGCATAGCACCAGCTAAAATTGTGCTTGATTATCTGTTGCTAGCTTTTGGATTTTTTAGAAGGAAATCTCTGTTGGTACTAACAGTACAATAAATGATATTTCCTGCCTATCGTTCCAATGTTTTTATTTGCTATTTCTAACGATCTTTTTTTATTTGCTATGTATTATGTCAGAAAATGAATTCCACTATATTTTTTTTTTGTATGAAAGTTGAGCAAACAAGTCATCATGAGTTTATTGTCTAGCAGTGTAAAATTTGCCGTTTGGTAGAATATCAGATTAAATCTTTTTTCCTGCTATTTTTCATTTAGGCATGAACTTGGTCATCTGTGAGGTATTAAGGCAGGGTATTTTTAAATTCCAAATTTGAACATGAAACTCAACTTTCCAAGCCAGTTAATCTAAGGTTTGTTGTTCTGTTATTGCTTGCACTTCTTTGCAGAAATAAAAAATGTCAAAATTACGATCCTATGCATAAGGTCAGTTTTAAGCTTCCATATCACAAAAATTTTAGAATTTTTTTCATTCCTATCTCATCGAATTAGTTTATTACTAAAGCGCAAATGTAAATCACATGAAATAAAACAAAAGTTGAGAAATAATAAAAATTGCTCATATAGAAAATTACAAAAAAATGATAAATAATCAAAGTTCAAAGTGTCATATTTAGAAATAGAAAAGTGTTAAACCAATCTCAGAATGAACTTTTTTCTTCTGTGAAACTTAAAATAAATCCTTAAAGAGTGAACGCAAAACTTAAAAAAAAAGTGCATACGTGATCAAAATGAGACCAGAAAATATATGTTTTATGTTACGTTGTTTTACTATAACTTGGAAAGGATTTTTCTTTTCAATTTGACCTTTTTGTAAGTGCTTCGTGAATCTTTGATTTAAGCCTGAAAGTGTGTGAGATGATGAGAATCAATAAGCTGTCAAAACTATATCAAAGTTAATTTTATTCAAACAATGTAAAATTAATCCGTGCAGTTTTAATTCTACAAAAGTGATATACTCAATGAAAATTTTCTTTTCGGTAACCTTGATTAGGATAATGCTTGAATGCTAAAAGGTCTGTGATAGCCGCAATAAGCTGTTCATTAATGGCAGAAAAAGTAACTGTAAAGTTTTCCGTGCTGCACTATCGCATGATTGTGTACTTTGTAAGGTAGCACATAGTTTATTTTTGTTTGTATATACTATCTGTATTTATATTTATGTATTTATTCATATTTATATTTATTTGCTCATTTATTTATAACCAAAATAGTTTTGATAATATCAACGACATCGTAACTGTCCTTTATTGACATGCATTTTTTGGGAAGAATTATTAAAGCTTGAATTTCGAAAATTGGACCTTTCTGCTCCTTGCTTTAATCCCATTTTTAATTAAATCTTAAAGTGCTTCGTTGCTGGCCATTGCTTCTTCCAGCTGTAATGAGAAGGGAAACTTAGTGAAAAAAGAAGTGGAGTTAGACATGTATGTGTATGGCGGGATGGAAAATGAATTTAAGACCTTTTTCAAAATTTATATTACTCACTTAGTTTTAATTCATATTCCTGTTCTGTGGAAGGAACTGAAACCATTAGGTTTATTGGATCATTGGTAAGCAAATATGGAGAGAAAAAATGAGAGAGTTGGCAATAACGAGCGGGAATGATATCGTTTCTGTAAATAAATGAGCATTTTGTTCCTATGTTTTGGTGAAGTGTTTAGAAGTGTTTTATGAAAGAAAACAATTTAAAAACATTAATTTGCTCAATTTTTACTTCGTGTAGCTGAAGTTGTTCCTTTTTCATGTCCATTTGTTTTCACTAAAGATTTTTATCGTCTACACTTAATGTGTTCATGTCTACTTTTTTATTGCTTTAGCATTTTCAATCATCTTCTTTATTCAGTATTTCCCATTAATAGTTTTTCGAAATTATGCTTATTGTGGATGGTTTAAGAGTGATGTGATCAATTAGGAATAGCTGCTGGACGCAGCATCATGAAACTTTTATATCTGTCCATTTGTACGACTGCCAAACTTTGTCGTGCCTTTATATTTGAGTCTTCGACTTGTTTACTAATGAAAGTTAAAGGTGAAAAACTGATGAGTGATCTCTCAAACAAAAGGTTGCGGAAAACGGAGAAGGTAAAGCAGAATTTCTTAAATTGGAACCATCATCTATCAAGCAATGCTTGTTTATCTTATTGTCTTAAGGCTTAAAGTTGTCATATTTGTTAATTTGTTGTCACCATAGAACTCTAACATGTTGTTTAGTGTCACTGTCCTGACTACTCGTGTATGCGTTTGATTCATTTGAACAACTGTTATCCTCGCAAGATATTACATAAAAGTGTACATTCAGGATAATATTTGCCACACTGAAAATATATTTGCTTAGTTTGATTTCAAATTATGATGAGGAATTTTCAAAATTCTGAATTTTTTGGTTGCTTTTCTACAATCTGTTCTAGGGGACAGTACCGCATATCTATTAAATGCATTGTGTTCATTGATAAATTGTAGATGATCAGTTGTTAAAAATACGTAAATAAGGTAGTGAAGAATTTCCAATAATCCGATATCTGTCTTCATTATGACTTGGAAAAATTTGAAAAACTGTTTATCGATTACGTCAGAAACACACAAAGCAAATCTTATCCCTTCCATAAATTAATTGTCATTTTAACAAACAAATCATTTTCATTATTAGTAGTCGGATGTTTTGTTTTACCACGTCTTTCTTACTTTTGAAGAGAAATGGTGCAATGTATAACACTCTGATTAAATTAGAGAATTTAAATTAAGGGCTTACCTTATTAACTATTCACTATGAAAATGATTTTGCACCTCGAACAACTTATAGAAAGTAATATAGGTCCTTATCTGAACATTTAGGTCATAGTCAGAAATATCGGCACTAACTTTGTTGAAATTTTCTTGAAAAAAAGTCTTAAGTAATTCAAGAAAGTAAAATCGAGTTTTTGAGGACAATAAAATATTAAAAAGTTTCAAATTTTGTTGGAATTCCTTTATATATTAGAAACGTAGTTGAAAAAGTATTCTCGAAGAATGTATATTTTCCCACACAATGTAAGATTTTACAAGTAAAAAACGGATTTTTGCTTCATTAGAAGATTTCGTTCTATATGATGAAATGTTACTCTGACGTTATGTGGAATCTGGAAAAAAAGGAGAAACTTTTTAATATACAATTTTGTTTATATTGATTGCTTGATAACGCTTATTTCTTAATGTGCCAAGTAGTGATTGTTTAAATTATTTTGCTAAATGATAAAAGTATTCATCGCGTTTTGACACATTTTTCTAAGCGACATTTTACGTTACCTTTTTTCTCTACAGATCAAAATGAATTGATTATTATAGGTAGTTATCCGTGTCACAGACAATTTGCTCGTGGAGAAGGCAATAGAAAATTTTTCACGGAAAAAAAATTGCTATATATTGCGGTTTTTTTCGCATCAAGTTAGCAGTTCAAAAAATTTGCAAACGAAATGCACACTTTCTTTCGGTGTTATTAAATTATGGTAGTCATACCGCAGGGGAATAACGTCATGAACAGTACGTCGACAAACTTCAGCGATAATTATGAAGTAAAGGAGGAACTTGGAAAGTTAGTTCTTTTTTTTTTAATTCCTTGAAAATAGTCATAAAAAGACATCCATATTCAGCTTTATATCAAATTACAATTCTTCGCCCATTTATCTTAACTTGTTTCCACTTTGTAACTGATACTGAATTTCATATATGATATGGAATATGAAATTCAGTATGAAATTTCAATACAATATTATTTGGTTGCATAATACTACGTATTATCAGCACTGTATAATACATAAATTATAGCATTATTGTTTTAAGTTCATCTCGACAATAGTGAAAAATATAGTGCATTATTTTTGCACTTCATTCGTTTCAAAGTTTTACATATTCAAAATTTTAGAGGTGCATTTTCGGTAGTACGACGATGTGTACAGAAACGAACTGGCATGGAGTTTGCTGCAAAAATCATTAATACGAAGAAGCTTTCCGCACGTGGTTTGCTACTATATATTTGATTCGCATAAATTTCATTTCTTTAAATAATAATGAACTTTATTTCTTTTATCCAAATTTCATTTAGAGTGTGTTAACTTGACTGTATCGTCAGAAACAATCTAATAACCGACTTCTTTTGAAAATTTAATGCTAAATAAGCGCTCATTTCTTCACATTTTTTCTTGGTTTCAGATTTTCAAAAACTGGAAAGAGAAGCTCGAATATGCCGCAAACTACAGCATCCCAATATTGGCAAGTATTTCTCTTCAGTTATTTCAAAAAAAAATTATTTATTCTTGCAAAATTTTTGAATTTATTTTTGTTCAAAAAATAAAGAAAATAAACGAATTTTAGTTCGATTACACGACAATATACAAGAAGAAGCTTTTCATTATCTCGTTTTCGATTTGTATGTTTCCACATGTTTCTCATTGTAAATCTATATTCTTTTTTCATGCAAAAAAAAGACAAATTGGTTTTCCGGTCATTTTGAAAATAAGATTTTTTAGAGCTGTAAATAATTAAACTGTTGAAATTGTTTCTGAGAGAATTCTTAAAAGCATTTAATCTTTTTCTTCAGAGTGACAGGCGGTGAATTGTTCGAAGATATAGTTGCTAGAGAGTTTTATAGTGAAGCGGATGCCAGGTAATAGTAATCAGCTTGTTTTATCTTCATCAAATACAACATTTCAAGTTCGACAAAATGAGATTTTCCCCTACACGCCAAAACCATTTTAATTTTAACACGAATTAACTAAAAAAAAAAGTTATTCTTAGCCTTTCCATAGAATATTTCAGTCACTGTATTCAGCAAATTTTGGAATCAATCGCTTACTGTCACTTGAACAATGTGGTACACAGGGATCTCAAGGTTATTTTAATAGAATAAACTTAAGTTTAAGCTTCCGATTCTTTGGTATCGATTTCATTAGGTTGATTTTTAGAACAAAGCGTTGAGAAGAATTTATGATAGTTACAAGAATTTATTATAAGTTTAGTGAAATATTTCCAAAACTTGAAGTTTATTATTGAAACTACATATTGTTGAATATTTACATAATTTTTAGCCCGAAAATCTCTTACTTGCAAGCAAAGCAAAAGGTGCAGCAGTGAAATTAGCCGATTTTGGGCTTGCAATTGAAGTACAAGGAGATACGGAGGCATGGTTCGGTTTTGCAGGCACACCCGGGTATTTATCACCAGAAGTGCTCAAAAAGGATCCTTATGGAAAGCCAGTTGATATATGGGCATGCGGTATGTTACAAATTTAATTTCGATATGATCGTTTTTATTTTTATGTTTTCCCATGCTGCAATTTATAAGTTTTACAGGAGTTATCCTCTACATTCTTCTTGTTGGTTATCCACCATTTTGGGACGAAGACCAACATCGTTTATATGCACAAATAAAAGCGGGTGCTTATGATGTAAGCGCTTCTTTTTTTTATATAGAGATTACAAAGTTTTCTAAAAATAACTGTTAATAAACTTTCAAGAAGCAATTATTAATTGTTTAGTAAGTCACTCGGTAGAAATAACTTATGTTTTATATATTTATCATTTCGAAGTTTACCGTAAAAATTTCTGTTATTTGATCCTCTATGTTGAAGATCATATTTGGATTGATATTGATTTAGTGAGTAACTTTATACTTTTATCATCAAAATATCTTTGATATTGGTTTCTTTTTTTTTACTGATTTGATTTTAATTGCAGTATCCAAGCCCTGAATGGGACACAGTTACTCCTGAAGCGAAGAATTTAATTGATAATATGTTAACGGTTAATCCAAAGAAGCGAATAACTGCAGAGCAGGCTTTAAAAGTTCCATGGATTTGCGTAAGTTATTGAACTCCCAAAGAAAATGCTGTTTCCTTTCCTAATTCAATTTCATTCCCTAAAAATATCGTTTATGATGGATCCGCTATTAAAATAATAATTTTCATATTTAGAATCGTGAACGTGTTGCTTCCGTAATACATCGTCAAGATACGGTAGACTGTTTGAAGAAATTCAATGCTAGGCGAAAACTAAAGGTAAATACCTTTGAAATTTTCGCTTCAATAAATAAAGCTTTCTTTTACAAATTACTGAACATTTTTGGATTTCTGTAGAAAGCCTGCTATAAGTTTCAGATTCTCGGAATTTTCTTTAAGCCACTTTTTATTCTTTCTCAGATTCTCCATACTACTATGTGTTTGTGAATATGTGTGTGTGTATGAAAAAAGTTATTTGCGCTCAGGCTTATTTTAAGTACATTTCATTTCAGATAAAGTAGCAATACACTTAATTTTCACTCTCACATATTTTTTGCATCGTTTTTATTTGCTTTCTTCTTCTAAATTTGCATGTGTTTGGAAACTTTGATAATTTTGCGCAATTTATCATTTAATTACTGTTATTAGGGAACTTGTGTATCAAACTTTTTTTTTTGAAAAATAACCGAATTCTACAAACATAATCCTTTACTATTAATTCTTCGTTTCATATTTGAGATATTTCTTTTTTATTTTTTAATTTCTCAAATCTTCCAAGATTTAATCATTAGTGATTCGCATAAAAATTTGAATACCATAGGAATTGTTATAGTTATTGATATAATAACGTATTAGCCAAAGTGTGCTGTAAAGCGATGGATTTTTTTTCATTTAAATATTTTATCATTGATATTATTGGATTTCATAGTCACAATTATGACGTATTAAGTTTCATACTGTTAAACATTGCAATTTTCAATGCTGTTTGTATCTAAAAGCGGTAATCTCTTTGATATATTGTGAAATATTGATGACAGCTTACGATAGCATATCTTCATGCTACACTTATTGACATATATGTAATCATTTATTTCCTCTCCGGTGTCTTTCCTCTGTAATGCAGTAAAACACTTCGTTAACAAAATTTTTTTTTCGTATCCTGACACGACAATCATTAATAAATGAGAAACTTAGTTTGATCTCATATCAGTTGTCATAATTCTTTTCTCCAATTTTCATCTTTAGTTTAGTTTGTTATAAAATGAAATAATGAAAAAACTGTACTTTTTTAATTTTAAAGATCTGAATTGAATATATAAATCGTTCCTTGCTGCTGCATAAGGAAGGATCCATAATTGAAAGAAATTGCATTTGGATGTATTTTGCTAATTGCTTAGTTACTCTTTTCCTTAGCTAATCCGATAATTTGTGAATCGCTTCATCATTTTCATTTATTGGTTTTATTGTGATCTTTCATCTTACCTTCTACCTTACTGATATATCAGTGAATAATCTTATTGATGTATCAGTGAATCAGTGAATCTTCCACTTTCAAATTACATCTAACTGAGAAAGTTATTTATTTCATGAAATCGATGTCGATACTTGTTGACATACTATCAGATGATAGTGCGGTTGCTTTGAAAATAAGGAATAACTTTTTCCACAACATAAATAATGACAAGGGCAATGGAAATCGTTAAATGCAGTGGTATATAAAGCTTATTTTTGTTGATTCGTTTACTAATAAAAGAATGAAAAATATGAACAGTTTTTGGGGATTGGAGAAGCCTGTAAGAAAATATTCGGTTTAGAATTGGTGTTTGTTAAAGTTGCTGTTTGCTTTATTTCGCATTTAACCCTCCAATAGACATGTTTATCTCACATCATTTCAAGATTCGCTACTGAAACTTTCAGGAATTCGATCAAAAAGTAAAATCTATATTATTCATTTAGTTGCTCCATTTTGTTCAATACATGTCTAATTTGCTTCAGCATTCATCGTTTTTAATAGTTTTAAAAATTAAATTTAAAATTTGATAATCGATGCGGATAATCTCTCTTAAAGCCAAGTTGCATGGAGAAGTTGAAAAAGATAATTTTTAATAGTTAATTGTGTCTAGTGAGTGTAAGCTGAATATCTATATTTTATGACAAAATAACATTTTTCATTTGAAGCTCCGGTATAGGTGATCTGGTTGTGCGCAAGAATTTTTTATTTCCACATTAAATTTCTCGGATCAAAATTGTTTCAGCGTTTTTAAACCTAAATTAATGTGCAACGGTGGACATTATTTTATTGTGGCTTTTTTTTTTTTCAACTTTCCCGGATAGACTATTCCATTAGCAAATACACAAAAACAACACTCCTTTCGCTTACATTTTACTTCATTTTGTGTTGCTATTAAATGATTGTGCAAATTTATCATTTGATTAATCACTATAATTCATCATTATTATTGCTTTGATTAGTTTATAATGTAACCTAATTTTCCTGCTAGTTCTTAGGTTTTAAATGAAGTTAGCAAATTTATCAAAATCTATAAATAAACTAAATTAGGTGGATGATTATGAATTTTAAGCTTGACTTACTTTTTGCTTGCTTTTTGTTATGACTAGACTATTATTGTAGGTTTATATTTATGCCTTATTTCACCTTTTACATCGGAAACAACTTTTATCCATATTGTTCAAAATATTTTTAAGAATTTTTTTATAAACATTTTTTCCTATCAGTAATTTTCCTTTTAAATAAATAGGAATAGATGAGAGCAGGACATTATTCTGCTCCATTCTTTCTTTATTTATTTTTTTGCTACTGTTTTCCCACATTTCACTATAAATCTTCATGTATAAATTCTCTGTGATATCATTATTAGCTAAATGTGGTGGATGAAGAATAGCTAAAAATTGATTGCTAATTGTTTTAAGGCCTCTTTCATTGAGAACATTTCAGTGATTGACCTAAAATTCTGTACCAATCTTACTGACTTTAAGAGATGATCAATTAAGTACTTACTGAGTACAATCAAATTATCCTTTCTCATAAACAATTGGAATACATTATTAAACAAGTGAAAAATAATTAAAATGATAATATAATTTCAGGGTGCGATACTTACAACGATGATTGCTACACGAAATTTATCAAGTAAGTTCTTTTAAACCACATTTTAAATTACTAAAAGTTTGATGTTAAAAATTAAAAAAATATATTCATCTTCATTTTCTGTACTGTATTTTGAGAGAGGTATCTACGGTACGTTTCTTTATTTCAATATTTTGTTCAGTATTTTGTATATCAGCTAATTATTTTAATAGTCTTATTCTTCTTACTATAAATCTCAAACGGAAATGCAAAAATTGTGATTTAATCCAGATTGTCTATTTTAGTTTGTTGTCCTGAATATACCATAAATATATTTTTCTTAAAATTCGAATAAGAACAAACGCTTGTGAGGGAGGAAAAAGGAGAGATGGATCGATGTCATTTGAAGAAACTATCCATTTTCATTTATTTATTTCTAACTGTAATTTTTTTTCTGTAGCGAAAGAACAAGTTTTACAATTTATAAATATATTCTAAAAACGACTGTAATAAATCGATGAGATGATATAAAAATCGACTTGATGCTAAAAGGCTAGAAGTACAATTTGATTATAATGCATCAAGATTCAAAGTGACTAAATTTGTCATTTTTGATAATGCCATTGCAGCAAAGATTCAAATATGATTTAAGTATAAACACTCAAAACCAATTGCTTATCGTAAATTCTAGTTATCACGGGTAGTTTATCATGGAATCTATGATTCATTTATTATTTTAAAAAATTTTAATGCTGTTCAAAAAACCTGAGATCTAAGGTTTTGCGTGCAAATGAATCTAATGAATGTCAGATTTCCTGCTCACAGACTGTCAAACAAGTTAAGCAAGTTCATTCTATTTTTCTGGCTTCTCCATCGTTTAAAAATTGTTTTTAAAGCCGTTTCTTTTTTTTTTATAGAAATTGAAAATTTTAGCTGATACACAGAAAACTATTTTAAGCTAGCGTATTGTTCAAGTTTAATCAAAAAGAGTTTAAAATTGTGAAGTAAATTGTTAGGTTGGAAAATATGCAGTTCGTCCTTTTTCTAAAAGTCAGGAGGTAGCAAGTGGGCCCTTTTTGACAACGTAAATTTCTGGAAAAATTGAATTTAAAGAAACGAGATTTTCTAATGTTGTTTATGTGCAATATTCCTAACGATATTTTATGTCCCTGTGCATTAAGAACCTAACGATTCAAAGATTTTCACATTTGAAACAAAATGACATTAAAAGCTCTATACTTTCTGACCACTCGACCTTTTTTTTTCCTTTTGCTGAAAGGATCTCAACCATTGTCCACTTCATTGCTACTACACATTTTTGAATTATTATATTCCCATTTCTCTTTATTTTCATTATTAATATTTTTGTACCTGAATTGCAGTTAGTTCATATAAAGTGTCTGCAAAAAATATTTTTGTTTTGCACTAATGTTTGCAATTTTGATGGTTTATTATTTCGACGAAAATTATCATTTTAATCTCAGATTAATTTCAATCATAAAATGAAATTTTGTCCGCTTCTAAATACTTTTTCGTCAGCTTAAAAAATTTTTTTATTATCAATCCTTCTAAGAGCATGAATAGAGCGGGAACTAAGAAATCTATTCTTTAAAAAAGAAAAAAAAATATTGTTAGTATTAAGAACAAGCGAACTAATATATTGTTTCGGATCATTCAGTAAGATCATTATTTTTGAATTTTATTTATCTTGATTTATTTTAACAAACAAGTAGCATATCTTAATTAATTCATGCCATAAGTGCTCAAAATTATATCGATAATAACGAATAATTAATATGCAGAAGGCATCATATAGCAGTGCATATCTATTTCTTCATGCTCTAAACAATGTTGACATCATTGATGTTGCAATTTAAACATTTAAAGAGTTAAGCGGCGATGTGCTTAGTGTTTAATTCAGATCATAGATCAAGTTGGTTAATGACTACTCATTTCGTTCATGTTTGTTCACTCCGTTTCAAAAGTGTATTGAAGCTCAACTGCATTTTATTGCACGCATGGCCCGCCATTGTGTTTTAGAATGCAAGCCTCATTCTATTTCTTTTTCCTGTTTAACCTTTACCATTGCAATTTTAGTGTCATGAATAACATACAGCTTTGTTTTCTCATTATTTTTTAATATTGGAAAAATTCTATTACACTTTTGAATATTAAAGATTAGATTTTGGATTTCAAATGTATTTACTAACGGAAGATTTCATTAACTTATATCGATTAGATGAAAGATAAGAAATGAAATAAAATTCATTATTTAGCGAACGCTGAATGGAATTGGTGTAATTAGTGAAGGTATCTTTCACAATATTGATGCTGTTGATATCATTTACTATATCATACCATACTAATACAAAATTGACTAATTTTGCAAAATTATTTTTTCAACAAACAACAGAATGAAGCGTATTGAAATATTCCTTTACCTTGATAGCATGAAATGATAACCGTAAATTACTTAGCAAATTACGACTACTCAATCTCACAAATTATTTTCCTCTCGATGGCTTTGTCTACCACATATGGATAGTTTGAAAGTGGGTAGAAATGAACGCTTTGTTTCTTAGCAGTATGGATTTTTAATGCTTCTATACAATTCCATTATTTTGTTTTTGTTTTTGATTTCGAGCTCATTAATTTAAACTTTACTACTCAATCTTACAAATTATTTTCCTCTCGATAGCTTGATATATCCAGCACATGTATATCTAACACCTTTTTTTGCAGTATTGTGCATCAAATTTTTGGATTGTCTAATTTATTATAATGTAACTTCAAAAGTTTCATAATCATAATTTTTAAAAATCCTTGTTTTTTATATCCAATTTTTTTTCTTGGAGTTACTCGTTTTTTTTTTTGAGTTATAACAGCAATCTTAAGAATGACAAAGAGGTAGAAATTTAAACTAGATCGTTTAATTTTGGTATTAGTAATCACTCGCTTGCTTTTATACTTTCAGTAATTAATGATGTAGAATGTAAGTTATGAACATATTCAGAATTACACTAAGGAAATAAGTTATTTAAAGCAAAATATATAGACAATTGCCTAAGGTCCAATTTTCTTTTTTACAAATCAATACTGGCGATTAATTTTAGTTATTCTGTGATTTCACCATAAAAAGTGGTAGAATGGAATGGAAAATTGAAATGTGAATACAACTAAATCTGTTATTAGTGGAATGATTGTTTTTCTACATGTTGATAGCATCTTGCAGGGATTTTAGAATATCCCTCTTAAATTTCGAAAAGGGAAGTGCTATTATTCTGGTTGATGGCACCACAATATGGGTATTTTCGGGTGAAGCTGTAGCAACAGAAAGAGCAGTAGCCAGCCGTATGTATCATTTTGTGCAGCAGTTGGAGCATTTTATTTCGAATTCTTTGAGCTCATTTTCTACCAATGTTTTACATTTTTGTGGTTGTTATGAAGCATTTAACTCAACTATGGCCTCTACTATTACTTGCCTTTACTTCCATTGCTATATGCCATTTATTATCTAAATTTATCAATATTAGTGGCAGTACAATTACTGCAACATTAACGACAACTCATGTACCTGGTGGTTCTATCACTAACAATGATAAATTAGAGAAAAAGCCTGCCAGAGAACAATACAATATTCCAGAAAAATCATATTTTGAATTTTTTCATCCATCAGTTACTGTCATTATTAATACATCAGTTGTTGGTGAGTATCACAAATTACTATTTATGTCCAACATAGACTTATCATTTCATCGATTGGACAATTTTTTAATTTGAATTATCGATTTTACTATAACATGAAATTTTCTAATATTTGTTTTTAACACTCAAAGGCAGATGTTTTTCGGTTAAGATAATGGCAAGGTTTGTTTTTGAGTGAGTGTACATGAAAGTTTGCTTTTACACTTTCTTAAGTTAAATTTTGCTTCAAAGTTTTTCATTTTTAAATTCATATTATGATATTAATTTTGAAGCTTCAAAGAGAATTGTGCAGTGTAATATGTGAAAGAATGGAAATTTTTTTTGCAAACGATATGATTTTTTAATTGAGCTTGCCTTAGTACTATCATTTCTAAACAGTAAATTTTTCCATTTCTCTAATTCTCGTATGATCTTTTTTCCTCTTAATTCGTGACTTAAATTGCGTAAAAAGCATGCCATCACTTAAGTTTTCAGGAATGTCAGAAAATTTTGACAAGATTCGAGATCGGGATGATGAGATTGTAGATTGAAGAATTCATCTTATTTTCTCAAAATGCTTTCACCTTCGTGGAATTTTCAATTAATCATAAATTTCAACTTTTGTTTAAGGTCGTAATTTGCTGAACAAAAAAGAAGCACCACCGAGTACCATAAAGGAATCATCGGAATCATCACAAACAATTGACGATCAGGATTCTGATAAAGGTAATTGTAATTTAAAGTCCAAATTTTTCGATCATATATGTAGTATTCAAAAAAAACATCGTTAATTTTTTCCAACCATTTTGTCTGACATTCATTTTAAAAAATCATAATAGTTTGTGAAAAATTGTTTGGAGATTGTGGAGAAGTCGTAAAACTGCTACATTTTTTGCACTTCTTGTCCAACTCGTTCAAGATTAACTGCATTCTTTAATAAACGATGCTTCTTATTAATGGCATCTGTCGGGAAGTTCTTAGCTTTCCTGACTCGTCTCACGAAGACCATACTGCTAAGTTGTCGACAATATCTTGATGTATTTTTTTTCAAATCTGAAAAAATATTAATGCTACAAGCTTGACACTCATCAGAGACTTTTTTCTGGAAAGATAAGGAGTAGATAAATGATCTTTCAAAAAGCCATCAAATTCAACCTTTGTTATTCTTAGTGAATGAAATGAAGCACGTATTTATTGTATTATCAGACAGACTATTAAGTATATAATCATTAATTCTATTTGAAACACCATCATATATTGTGATGCATGTGATTTAGAGACTGCTAATATTCTTCTAACATTTTTTGATAACCAACTTTTTTACGATTATTCTTTTATGACAACACTGAAATTAAATAATGGTAAAAATTTTAAGTACCAAAACATTGAATTATTCATTTTTCTTAATTCCAGAAGTTGAAGTTCTTTAGCTAGATAATTTAGTGAAAGATTACAATTCTTCAATAGATTCAGCTGAAGATAAGTTTTGCTTTGGACTGATCTTACTTTTATCCTGGGCTTCACGCTGCTTTAGGTGTTAGTATGTATAGAATATTTTAAGGTAGTAACAAGTTTTTAGCCGATAATGGATTCCATTTATTATCAACATGGATTAGCTCTTTCGTAAGTTAATTATATATCTTTCGCTTAAATACTTATTCCATCGTGTAATATTGCACTTCTTTTAGTTTGCTTGAGAAAGCTATCTATAAATTAGGAAGCAGCTACATCGGCTTCTTCATCTTCTAGAATCAGCTAATGGAACACTATAACTACTAAATAAGAGTACTATCGGCCTAAAATTCAATTTAAATTAGCATCTGTTTCATCGGCCGTTGAACAACTGGGCTGTTAGGGCTTATTTGATGAATCGCATTTGGTTATTTCCATTGCGCAGTTGCGCTTCTAACATGAATGCGCAACACTTAATCCCTAGAAAGGTGGAATATTTTGGTAAGTTGCATCTGCTGAATATCTCTCCCACTTGTTTAAATTCGGCAACATTCCTTCCTGTCATTGATTCCGATTGGATACTTTGAAATTGCCTTGTTCATACTTCTGCATGAGCATAAAATTAAGGCGATATTTAGAAGATATTTAACTTAGGTCTGCAAGGATTCACAGTTTATTTCCTTGCTGTTCATCCTTTTGTCAGTTCAACTGGAGCTTTTTCATTTTATTTTACTCCACAAAAATTCTTGCAAAAAAAATTCTATTCTCGCCAGCCTATTTAAGCTTTTCCGGTCCACTTTGATGTATTTGAAGTATTAGTGCACTTCATTAAGTGATGAATTCGTCAAATATTAATTTGATATATACCATAACCCAAAAAAGTGAAATGTAATGATTTTTAGTAAAGTTGCAACTCATTACATCTCACTTTTTCCTTTTTCACTTTTCCTTCTCATTCCACTCCCCACTATTTTATATTAAGGAAGATTCTGATGTGCTTTTTTTAACTTTTTGAAGTTTCTTGACATTTTTGAACAGATCCAAAAATTACATTCTCCACTATTAAAGATTTTATTTTCACATTTATTACCTTTAAATATTCTCTGCCTTTCATCAGAAATCAACAAATATCAGTTGCAACTGAAATGTGCTGCTTTTTATAATTGAAAATGCCACGATTTGAGTATTTGGTTATGAATGAAAAATTTTTTGAAAGAAAAAAAACAGCTGTTTCACGTACTTATTTATTTGTCTGCCACAGCGGGAAAGACGCTGAGCCACGAGAATACAGTTGTACGAGTGGATACGACTCTTAAACAACAGCGAAGGGCGACTGGAATGAGCAGCAGTATGGGCAGCCCATTACCAGGTTCGCCTCTATAAATATCCTTTGAAGGTTATGTAATTTATTTGTTAGCCAATAAAGGGGATTACTGATTGCATGATAATAATGACGAACTTCCTTTGCATGTTTCCTCTTCGTTACCAAATACTTACACTCTTCTTATATCAAATCATACAGTAAAACTGTTAGGAATTTAACATCACGAAATATGATATGATCCTTGGAATATTTGTTATTAAATTTGTCTTTCGAAATTTGTTTAACGACATCATTTGCGATCATTAGTAGCGCAGCGTGTTTTTGCAGCTTATATTTTTGATTTACTCTCTGAGAATTGCCATTCATATTTTTCATTTCTTGATTGCATGAGCTAGGCTTCTGAAATAAGTTTTCATTTAATCTTTCTACAGATTATTCCATTTGATAGAAAGAAGTAATCTGTTACTGTGTTTCATCGATATTGCGGAAGCCAAAAAATGAACGGAGTATTGGATGATGTCTGTGTGTTCCCGAATGGAATTAAGAAAATGAAAGCTTGACTTAGTTCGAAATTTAAACTTGAATTATGAAAACACAATTAGGCTAAAAAGTCTATTTAAGCTTATCACTTTTCCTTTCCATTTTCGGAATGATCAGGCAATGAAGTCATCCTCAATAAAATTAACTATTAAAATTGATGACCACTGTTACGAAGTTGGATGAAATTATTTGTTTGTGTTTCACAAGGTTACGTTAAAAATTGAGCCATTTTCAATAAAATATCATTACTACGATAAAGCTTGCGACGAATAAAGCAGTAAAAAAGGAAAAAAAAAACGAAAAAACTTTTAAAAAATAAAAAGAAAGAATAATTTTAACAGTTTATAAAAAGGTTTACAGTTTTAAAATATGTCTTTGGTCACAACTTTTATTTCATTCTCTTAATGTAATTTTTTTTGTTCGAAACTTCCATTCTGAATCTTCCCCCTACTTCATTTTCTTCTGTTTCCGATTTTGTATTCACCTCTCTGCAATAAAAATCTGATAAGATACCTGAGAATATAAATTTTGTCTGCATTTCTTATAATTCACAAAATAACAAATAAAGTCAACTCATAGACGATATCAAGTGGAAATGATTTGTTTTAGAGGCGCTTTTTAAAGATTTTAATTCATTTGGCAAACATTTGTTATTATTACATTAGCTATATTATTTGATTCGCATGTGTTTTTTTTTAAAAATTGCATGTTTTTTGCATGCTTTTTTTAATGGAAAAGAATTAATAATTTATGAAACGGGTTAGATTAATTACAGTGTCTTAAAATTATTGTGATTCCTAATCTGTTATAATTTTTCCTGCTGTGAGAGAATGGAAAATCTCTAATAATCTATGCTGCTTTGATGATTTAATTCGTGAGCTTTTTTTAAGCAATCGTCTGGCATATAGCTATTAGATTAAGGTAGCTAAACAATCAAATAATCCTCATAACCTTGCTACACATAAAACAAGGTTAAATTTTCGAAAAATTTTATTTATTTGCGATTTTTGCGGGAAGAATTAGTTTGCAAATTAATTTTAATAAGTTAATTTTAATAGGAAGAAGTTTTGCATTATATTTCACAAATTAAAGATTCGCTATTATTGATAATTGGAAGTGCTAAAAATTGCCATTTAAAAGTTCTATATAAATGGTGCAAAAAGTCAAAAGTTTAATATTTAATTTACGTTGATTCATTCGTATATGAGTGATTGCATCTTCATTATTTGTTTAGCAGGAATTTTTATACCAGCTTCGAATCGCTATCTTTTTTGGGCATTGTGAAATATTACTTTTTGGTTTCTAATTAAAAAAAATATCCTAATGCACGCCAATATTATTAAATAAACTAGATAGCTTTTCTGTTTTTGCTGCTAACGCATATGTTTTTTCACTTTTGTTCTAGAGGGATAAATTTGTCAAAAAAAAGCTCAATTTAATTATTAATTAATTTGTCTATGGTCCGGGAAAGTAGTTGAAACAAAATAAATATGCCGATAGTGTACACACAATGATAATATAGTACTGTTCTGAAAGATCTGTTCATGCGCTATTTTGTTAGAATAATTGGAATTTATCATTGGATTGGTTGAATAAGTAATATTAACATAATTAAGATTAATGTTAAAAACAATGAAAAAATGCATAATATTATTGATAATCGTTGAAAACCATTTTTAAATGTTTGAAGATGTTAATTTCAATGATGATTACATTAAACAGAAATTATTCTATTTTCAAATGGAATTTTAGTGTCATTCGTTCGTATTGTTTAATGTCAGTCATAAAAGAGATGAGTTTCAGTTGAAGTGTATGTAGTGATGATAGGAATCAGTGCTATTTATGGATGGCTAAATTACGACTACTAGTACTAATAAAAAAAATAAAAAACAAAACAAAACAGCTATTTTTTCAATTACTTGACTTTTACCGATACTTATCATCTTTAAATTTCGTTGGTTTTTGATATATTCGCATTAAATTTTTCGTTTGAATAGAGATTTAGTTTGTTTATCGCGCTTATGATTTTACCCTTTTTTGCAAATCATCCATATCTTTTCACTAGTCACAAATACACGTTCTATCATTTTGGTTTTGGATTAATTTTTCTCAAAATTTCTTAAAATTCTTTACTCAAAAAAATTCTTGTTTTCATTTTTAAATACGAATGCAGTAAATTTCTTCTCATTCTTGCAGTTCAAAAACAAGAAATCGTTCGCGTAACACAACAACTATTGGATGCTATTTCATGTAAGGACTATGAGTCCTACTCGTGAGTTTCATAGCTATTTTACAATTTTGCACTCAAATTCATTGAATATGCATATACATTTTATATGGATTCTCCTTATTCATATCTCTCCAGGTTCAGAAAATTCACCATAGATTTTTTAAGCAAAATAATTTTTATCAACTATTAGAGTGCAAATATGAAATATCTTTCATTCATTATTTTTCAACAAAAGATGAGATCAACGCTTTCATGGGATTAAAAAAAAAATTATCCTGCTTAAGATTAACATTTTCAATAATGCGTTACATGTTAACTGCAAAATTTCCATATTTTACAGCCTGATTTCAGAAGGCTCTGTGATCCATCGATGACATGCTTTGAGCCGGAAGCACTTGGTAATCTGATTGAAGGAATGGATTTTCATAAATTTTACTTTGATAATAGTAAATTTTTTTTAATCTAAATGTTGATTTTTATACCGAAATTTAGCCATTTAAAGAAACATTTCGTTTTTATTTTCAGCAGACAATTTCTAATTTTGAATTCAATGAGCTCACTTTTCATAATCGCATTCGCATTTTCTCTTTACTAATCGTTTTGAAAATTATTACATACGTTTTTGGAAGTCATTAAAGAGACATTGATAGCGAAGGATAGCCATTACTGTTTTAAAATCTCCGGTTTATTGGTTTGCTATTTCCTGAATTTATATAAGCAATTCAGATAGTGGAACACGCGGACCAAAAATTCACACAACGCTGCTCAATCCGAATGTGCATCTAATGGGTGACGAGGGTGCATGTATCGCTTATATTCGTTTGACGCAGTTCATTGATAAGTAAGCTTATTGTTTTTTTAGTACTATAAACATTTGAGCAATAATGAAGAAATTTCAATTTCTTATTTATTTTTGGTCATATGATTTATTGTTTGCTCATTTTTTGATAAAAGTAATTTAATCTTTAAAAGAATCTTTTTTTTTTTTTTGGTAAACAATCTAAAAAAAGGAAAGTTTATGTTGCATGTTCAGGAATGGTGATGCACGATCAAGGCAGGCACAGGAAACACGCGTGTGGCATAAACGTAATGGACGAGGTTGGGTATGCGTTCATGTTCATCGAACCGGTGCACCATCTTCCGTGAATACGGCTGACTCTCATTTCTAATATACATCTTGTTTAAAAATTTTAAACAAATGCTTGGCATGATGAACTGTATAGGCTTAGTTAGCCTTATCGATCTTATTCTATTGAAGGAATAATAAAATCAATTTTTTAGAGTTCGGGAAAATATTCAAATACTGTAAAGAAAGTGAATTAAAATTCATTAAATAAAATAGGATTCAAAACGAAATGAAAGTCGCGATCATTTTCATTTCTTTTAAACTTCAAATTTTAGTTTTATTGTATTTTTAGTGTATTTTTAGTTGCTTGCCTACAGTGGTATATCATTATTTGTAGTGAATGTGCATAGTGGTTGTACATTAAGTCTATGCACATCTCTTTCGGGCTTGTGCAGTACAGTAGATTATTAGCAGAATTTTGAAATACTGACTTTCATTAAATCAATGATCACTTCATTTAATTTGATGTTTACATTTTAAAACTCGCAAATTTTTAGCAACAAAATGTTTTGGAAATTTCCAGTGTTAGCATAAATGACAACTGTTTGCTTTATATTTGCTGGAATTTTTCCAAA